GAATAGGTAGGTTTGCGAAACGTGAGAGGGTGAGAATGAGTTCATGAAGCGTAAAGTGGATGAGTTCGTTAAACGGAAGGTGGAATAGGTAGGTTTGCGAAATATGAGGTGGAATGGATAGGTTTGCGAAATATGAGGTGGAATGGATAGGTTTGCGATATGTATGAAGTGAATGAGTTCGCGAAACGTGAGATAGAATGAGCAGATTTGCGAAACTGAGGTGGAGTAAATAGGTTCGCAAACCCATTTACTCTACCTCACGTTTTGCAGACTTACCCATTCCACTTCACGTTTCGCAAGTTCTCTCATTTCGCTTTATGCCCACAAATCAATTCACTTTTCTTCATGCTTTGCAAAATCATTTATTTTATATTATGTTTTGTAAACCTTCCCATTTTATTTCACGTTTCGCAAACCTATTCACTCCACATTTTGTAGACTCATTTGCACACCCATTCACTCTATCTTATGTCTCTCGAACCTGCTCATTCATCTCACGTTTCGTAAACCTATCCACTTTATGTTATGCTTCACAAACCCATCTATTCTATCTTTTCGTTTTTCTTACATTTCATGAAATAGTACACTCGATAATATAAATAATTGTTTGTTTTATTTATATGGTACAGTATATGCAGTATAACATATTTTGTGTGTACGTATATCATAGGGTCCGGAAATTTCCTGTCCATCTTACCATATACAATACCAGTTTATAACAATTATATAAACCTTTATTGATAACAATAAGCCCGTTAAAAAATCACGTATTTAACAACAATTTAAAACCAGTTATTGATTTATAAAATATTAGAATACCGTATTTCCATTAATATGGGTAATTATTTTTGAAGGCGGACCAGAAATTTTCTGGCGTGATCTTAAATTTATACTATATATGTATTGTTTAAAAGTTGGGTCGAAAAAATCATATCTAGCATTTTTGTCACCTTCAAAAATAATTACCCATATTAAAACTATTGATTTTTCAAAATTAGTAAAATAAACTATATTTTAAAACAAAGTCTATGATTTATGTTAAATCTATTTAAAAAATTGTTTAAATAAAATAGAATTATTTATAATTATTAATTCTTATATTAATTATATTAATTAAAATTTATAAATAAGTAAATACAGTGAATAGGATTTCTGAGTTATAATATAAAGGTTATTATGTAATTTAATTTTATTAAATATATAATTTTTTTTATACTATAATAATAAATTAATAACTTTATTCTTATGGTTTAATTATTAATTGTGTAATTTTAATATAAGCAAGTACATTAAAAAATAATATCAGTTATTTACTAAAAATTATAATTTTATTAAATAAAATTTATAATATTTTATTTATTGTACAGAATATTTTATTAAAATATTAAATAAATATTAAATAATAATATTATTGAAATTTTGTGTAATTTTTAATTTATTTTAATTTATTATTTATATCTTAGAAAAAAAAACATAAATAAAGAATTATTAATAATAAAAATACTTTATTTTAAAAAAAATATTATAGCCTAAAATTCCTAAAGATATATAAAATTAATACAGTTTTGAGGTCTATATGATCAAGTAAAAAAGGTAATGGGGATTTATTTTGTAAAAATCAAGATATTTATTTAATAAAATAAAAGTTTGATATTTCAATTTCTAAGTAAAATTAAAAATCTGTATATATATATTTAAAATATAATATTTTTATATATGAAAAGTATAGATTATATAAGTTAATTAAATTATAAAAGAAGTATTATATTTATCAGAATAATTATTTGTATATATTAATATAGAAATAAATATTTTAACAAAAATAAATAAATAAAAATAAAAATATTTTAAAGCAATATCAGTATGAAAAGTATAGTATCAAACAATAACAAATTATTAATATAAAAATTATTCTAGAAGAACAATATTTAAAAAATAAATATTAATAAAATCAAATAAAATATAATAAAAATCTTGTACAAAAATCAAGTATAACAATCTAAAGTTTAATAATTTAAATATCAATTGGTTAAATTTTTATTATATTAAATAAATTGTATAAAAATAAAACTTTTATTAAAATTAAATAATTATAAATATATTGTTATATATAAATCTAATTTCAAAAACTAGTATAAAATAGAAAATAAATAATAAAGAAATATTTTATTTAGAATATTGTTTTTGATATAATATATTATTGTTATAATAACAATAAGAAATAATATTATAATATTATAATAAATTATATAACAATAGTGTTATTAATAATAAAATAATATAATAATTGATAATAATAGATAATAGATATAAATATATTAATAAAATATATAAATAAAATAGTTTGTATAACTTAAAATAAAAAGTTTTTAGATTTGTGATTTAAAAATTTATTTTAAAACATTATTTTATTTTTGTAAAATTATGCTTTATTAAATAAATGTTAATATGGTTTATATAATAAATAATTTAATATTTTCTAAAATATAAATACTTTTAAAAAAAGACATTATATTATTTTTATAATTAATAAAAAGCAACATTTAAAATTTTGAAACATACTTGATCAAAAAAATATTAGCAAGTATATAAGAATTGATTTAATTATAATTGTTTAAGGATTAAAATCTTGTTTTATTTATTTTGAAATTCAAGTGTTCAAATTATCATTATATAAAAAGTAAACTATTTTAGTAACAAAGTTGTTAATAATGACAATATTATAGTTTGTAAAAAAAATTTATAAAGATTTTAATAGTTATAATATAAAAAAGTATTATTTTTTTTTTATAGCAAATAGATATTAAATATGTAATTTTAATTAAATACAAGTCTATTATTAGTAAACTAATGTATTTAATTTATATTTATTATTAATTTATTATTTCAAAAAAATCAAACTTTTAAATTTAATAATATAAAGAAATTTTAATCAATTATAACAGATTTTTAATACTTTTTTTAATATACGTATATAACTTTATCCTTAATTAATAAAAACTTTATTATCAATATTCTTATTAAATAAATTTTGTTAATTATTATATTAATTTTTCAATATTTTTTTAGCAAGTCAATTATTTTTATATTGTTATTATTCAAAAAATGTAATATTATAATTATTGTAAATAAATAACCCAAAAAATTTAATTAATGAAAATGTAAAAATCTTATTAATCTTATTATTATCAAATCAATTTTTTATCAAATTTAACTATATGCAATATATAGTATTTTGATATTTATTTATATAACCTTTGCTTAAGATACAATGATTTTTCAAAAAATTTCTTATATATTTACAATAATTCTTTAACAAAAAAAAAATCCAATAATTTTATCATTTTAAATCGACATTAACTATTTAGTACTATTAGTAACTCATGTCCATAGTTTGTTGTATAGGCTATAATTATTTATTCTTGTATATACAAAAATTGTTAATGTAATATCAATAAATCTATGTTTAAATAAAGTCTTGCATTTAATGTCTATTTGCAATATATAAAAAAAAAACAAATATTATAAAAAAAGTTTATTTATTAATAGTAATTAAGCAATATAATAACGATAAATTTTATAGTATTACATATAATTAAATAATAATTTTAATATAACATTATTTAAATTATCTGAACATTTACAAACCTTAACTGATTTCTCATAAGACAGATATTAATTCATATAATATTTTTTAGTTTAATAAATTGGTTGATAAAATAAATATAGTTTAATGAGAAAAATAATAGATTTTTGTAATATACAATCTTTTCATGATATTTAAATAAAGTCATAAGATAAAGTTAAATTTTTTTAATTGTGTCTCTTATTTAAAGTTAGTAAAATTTGATATTTGATTCGAATTAAAGAAAAAAAATTTTTTTAAAAAAAAAATCGAATATGAAAAACAATAACATAGATCAAGATATGATTAAAAATAAAAAAATGTCTGTTATTTATACGAGTAAAATATCAAACTAATGTTGTGATAATATGCAAATTGTCATTAAAGCTACAGTATGCCTGTTTATCCACTTTTCTCTGGACAATAATCTACACGTACTGCTTATTTGTTTAATGGATGCAATTTGATATAAAATTTACTTTAATTAAATCGTGATCGAAATCAAAATTCGTTCTTCAACATGAAAACGTTCTTTTGCTTATAGATTAAATAAACAAATCCAAATGTGTAAAGTTCGCATTTGCATTTAGGAAAAATAATGGTCATATTCATATGTTACATATCCAAAACAATAAAATTTCTAAATTTGCACTAGTTACGCCATCATAAAAATTTCCATAATAATAATAGTTAGAAGGCAATGAAGTAGATCATCTTTAGTGTACAAAAATTGTGTAAACAAAAGTACATACAAACCATTCCATGTGACCAATTTTTTTTTTAGATATTTATGGATTTTACTTTTTAAATAGAAAGAGTTAGATTATTATTCTATATTTATTTACACTTTTCTTTACACACATTTGCATTACCCGATTTTTTTTATTTTAAATAAAAGTCTCGTTATTAAATTATTCACATCATTGCTGAACAATTCTTATTTACAATGTACAATCGTAAGTGCGTTATTTTAATATTGAGAATTTCTCAGATTTGTTCACACCTTTCATTAGAAAATTTTTCTTTGTTCATAGGCGATGATCGTATGCATACTTATCACGTACAAACTTGGAAATTTCAATTGAATAGCCGTTAATGTTGATTTTTCCCCTTATTTAGACACATTGATGTTTACTTAAGATGCTCATCATTACCATTATGTGCATTAAAGTTATACGGTATTCTGATATGATTTAATGACCGACACCTGGTGCCCTGTTTCAATCAGGTGTGAGGTTTGTTTGTAAAAATTTTTCCTTATATGAGGTTCGTACATCAAAATTGCAAGATAAAAAGTATACGTCATATAAAAGACAATTTCTAATACTTCCCATGTGGTCTATTTGGAACTGAATTTATTTTTCAACGACTCAAAATGAAATCCACAGAAAAAGAACATATGCGGCAAATAATATTTTGCGATAGTAGTATCAAGAAACCGGGAAAAATTATGTGCGTTGAACATAATTTAACGAGTGAATATAAGAAGTCTCAATCTTCGATAATATCTTCTATGGCTCCTACAAATAAAAATGAAATTCAAAAAAGTTGGAAATATTTCACTTCTACCAACAGTTCGTCGCAGGAAAAACGTTCATTTAAACAAGATCGTTGTCCGCGATTCGAGTCGCTTAAATGTAAATTCCAAAAATTTTGGTCACATAAATCATCATGTGACATAAAAATTTGTGAATTTTTGCTCAGTGTATTCTCAATAGACTTTAACAGCCTGCTACTATATATTGTAGTATGTGTGAACATTTTCAAAAAAATAGATATTGTAAATTAGTTTTTTTTATAAAACATTGTCGCTAATCAAGACACCAAAACGATTCATTTATACTCGTACCTTAAAATATTTCCAAAGAACATTTACTGTAAATTAAAAAAAAAAAGAGAAAATCAAAATTTATATTTAAACTTAACTGCCATTTGTAAAATAAATTTGATCATCGAATCTTGATGTTAAACATGTCAAGATTTTAGAGAAAGATTCGACCGCCCCTTTGTAATGATTGAAATCAAGACCAAACAAACATTGTAGCATAATAATGAGTATAATATTATAAAACCCAGTATATAATTTTTTTAATTTAATTTTTATTGTTTAATCAAGAACTCTTGTGAGGTAGATTACCATGTTAAATAATTCTGGTTGACACTTGCAAAAGTTCTTTTATACATCTCTGGAGCTTTATTAATAATATTTCAAAAAATAAAGTAAAATTTTAAATTTACTAATGACATTTCAAAATAAAATATATTAAAATAAAGGAATTGGTATAAAATATTTTTTAGTGAGTGTTGGATATTTTAAAAAAGTTCATTCATGAACGAAATAGTCAGGCTTTACATATAAATTATACTGTATATCAATAAGAAAAATTCAGATAATACTACTTTTTTTTACAATTAGTAATCTAATGTGGGAAATAATAGAATCATTTAGATATTGCTCGTGAGATTCAGGAAATTGATAGCAAATTGGATATGGGATTGGGAAAAATGCTGCATGGAAAGTATACTTGAGCTTGTTCGATGGTTACAGGAAGTTGGACTTTAAAATTGTTCGATAGATACCGTAAGTTGGTTCGGATATTGGCGTGTATTATTACTAAATTTCCTATTACGTTATCATGATTTGAATTATCCAATAAGGTGTTTTACAGATCTGAAGACCAAACAAATTTTTAATATGTAACATTAATATTACCGAACATACATCTTAAGTACAACATGAATAATGCAACCTACGACTAATGTTGAATGCATTTTACTCTCCTTACGAATTTTCATCATTCTTCATGCCACTTCCGAAACTTCACTTCTTAGAATACTATAGTCAATCCTCTTGAAATACACAGTCCCTTGGGTTCCATATAAAATCCCGAATTTTGAAGAGAAAACCAGTATTTGCACTTGGGGAAGTTTTGTTGTATATACTGTATTTTATAAATTTTATTCTAACTAAATTTGTAAAATTGTCTTCGTGAGCATCGAATAATATTTATGTGTTACATAATCCAAACAATGAACATTTCCAAGTATGTACAAGTCACGAATTTGTAATACAGTATTTAGGTTTGAACTTCACGGAATAATTCAAATGCTTGCGAATAAATCAAAATTAGATATCCCGTATATTTTTTGGGTTGAATTTTTTACTGTGCATAAAGACAGTTAAAAATAATTGAATAAATAAATTTAATAAATTTTATTAATTTAAATACATAAATAATTAATTAAAAAATATATTCATGAATTTTTATACAAACCAAAATTACCAATTTAATATTACAAAAATTTATCAGAAATATAAAATGAATCGAACAAACAAGTTATCATTAAAAACCAAACTATTAATCCGAAATTTTATTTTCATATAATTTTAGAGTTTATTACTGGTATTGTTTATCAGAATTGTTTTAACCCATTATCATTATTTTTAAATAAAAAATCAAACCAATAGTATATAATATTTTATGTTTATGAATATAATTTATAATTTTAAATTGATAGTTAAAATTTTTAGATACATTATAAATTAAAATCAAAACTAACAAATTGCAACAAGACAATTGTAATATACTTTAAAATTATTTTGCATTATTTTATTTTTCAGATGTTTATATGTCAAAAATAATCATTATGTTTGTACATAAACAAGTTATGTAAAAACAAAAAGTTCTGTAAAATATAGTGAATTGTTTTATGTATTATTTCACCGATTTTAAAATTTATAAAAAAAAAAGGTATTTTGAGGCACCATCATTGAAATGTAGGTAATATGAGCGTTTATAAAATACTTTACATCAGTTTTTTATTCCGTTCATAATAATATTTATTACACAATAAATAGACTTTCTTGTTTTCAGAAACAATATTGGAAGCTTTTAACGAGGAGTCTCGTGCATTTCAAGCTATTATTTACGGTCATGCAAAATCGCAAGAAAACATCAGACATTCAAAAAATTTGCTAGCCAATTCATTTCTGAAATCGATACTCGTACTCATGCGCTGTAAATACAGTATTATGAATAATACAACTCATATTGATTTGTTCAAAAATAAAATAATCTAATCTTGATTCTTTCTAATAAAAAAATTTTATTTATTTATTTGTTTTATTTTATTTTATTTATACCATTATTTGATTGACTTTTCTACATAAAATTATGAATCATGTCAATTAAAGTATAACGTTTCTTCGATGATACTAACTTGATGGGAAAAAATCATTCGTAATTCTACGTATTTGGAAAATACCCATTATTATATGTTGCATATCAAAACAATTTGTTTTTCCTAATCCGACTAGTTACGTAATCATGAAAATTACCACATTTACATTAGATTGATGGCAATGAAGTAGATCTTTGTCTGTCTAAAATAAAAAACCGCAAACACTGTGTGACTGTTATCAATGCAGTGTATCGTTCATTCGCAAAATGTTGTAAAAATACCGAAAAAGGATTTTTTATAGATCTTGATAGGGACTGTGCATCATGCAGCAAGCCGACCTGGCAATTTTCTCAGCCGGAAAATTGTACATTATTGCACGCCACTCGGTATGATAACTTACAGATACAATATTGTGTGTGCTATCTAAATTCGGAAATTTTCAAATTTCGTTTGTCGATTTTAATGACTGTACCATGTCGTTCATCATCATTTACGCCATAATTTAAGCACCAAATTCAGCCCTGCGTTAATAATATTATTTTGGTAACCGACATTTGAACTATCCTGGTATTTAATAGTAAATTTTAAAGTATTCTTCTTTCACGAAGCCATACATTATGTTGAAATTTAATACCGATATTATCGTATATAAAGATCAGTATTTTTTTTGTTTTGTCTTTCAACGGGTTTCAAAATGTCACACACTGAAAATGATTCAAAAGAGAAACAATCTGGCGAATACAAGAAACAAATGATTTTTTGCGATCCTAACACCAAAAGGCTAGGAAAAAATAACCTCGTTGAACATAATTCAACGAGTGATTATACAAAGTCTCTTTCTCACCTGCCCCAGCCGATCAAGTCAGAGTGTTAATAATATAAGGAGAATTACGTGCGAACCCACCATTTCCGTCAACAGCTCATTGCAGACAAAATATTCATGTATACGAAACTGGTGTTATCGAATGAAATCATTTAACTGTAAAAAATCTTATTTAGAAAAAGCCTATTTACTGTATATTATTCACAAAAGGCTCATTAACTTCGTTGATCGTTTTCATAATAGATTTTAAATTTGCATTTCTTCAAAAAAATTTTTTCTTTTTTAAATATCTTAGCTATATTAACAATATACTTTATGTATATTGGCAAAAATACTGTGTATTGTAAAATTTCTTGAAAAGTATTAAAAACCATTGTCTTTTGTTTGTAAATCAATAAAAAATCCTTCAACCACGTAAATTTTATAATAAATTTTTAAGATATAAAAGTAATAATAATAATAATAATAATAATAATAATAATAATAATAATAATAAATTAAAACTAGGAAATGGAAATCATTGTAAGTTCGAAGTTAATAACATCAAATCTAAATAAAAGCATGCGAGCTGACATAAATTATCACGTGATAAACAATGCTGGTGATATAATTGTCCGAATCATAGTGTAGGACTTTTTATTGAATTAAAAGAAAAAATTCATATCTGCCTGCATGCATTCTCATCCAAATATATTTCGTGATTATTGAGATTGTTTACGCGTTTAGTTTTTTAGGCTTTATTAAAATTTACAATTAAATCATGTAAGCTTCGAATCCACCAATGGTCCCCGTTACCTGGTATTTATAAACGACTTCCTATTTCGTTAATAATATCAGAGAATTTTATTTAGGTGAATCCTCAAGACCGTTAACCATCGTGTAGTTTTGATCGAATAAATAAATAAATAAATAAATTATAATTGGAAGTCCCACTGGAAGCTTGAAGTTTTCTGAAAAGGAGAACCCCGTAGATATCCTTTCTACTATTTACACCCATGCAACATTGTGTGAAACATTGGTATTCAAAAAGTAAAATGCAATGGACAACCCATTTTCCGGAATCGATATCCGTACTCACTCTGTTGTTATACCTTTGAACATATTGTTTGCCAATGGCAACCTTGATAATGAGATTTCAATTTCTAACTATTAGGTTTAATTTTGCTGCACGTTACGATTGATAAGATAAAATTATTAACCAATCATAGTAAAAACACGCCGACACCTTTTCGGATAGCACAATATCTTGAATAGAAAAAAAAAAAATTCTCATGTGATACTTCTTGTGCGCGTTGGATTTTTTCCATTTTCGTAGAATGGTAATCCTAATGACATGTTTCATATTTAAAAACAATTGATTTTTCCTATTTCGTAGAAAGAACGACACCATGGAAATTCCCATAATTATACAAGTTCGGTGATTAATGATGCAGATCTTTGTTACTGTATGAGGGTAAATAAAAAACCTAATATGTTGTGCAACTGTTTATAAATGCAGCTTTCTCGTTAAAAATACCAAAAATAAATAAAATAAAAGGATTTGCAAATTTTGATGTTTGATAATGTGAATATCGTACGTCGCGGTGTATAATAACCCCTGTAGAATACTTGCCGGTCTTCCAATCAATATACACTAATAAGAATAATATATAGATATATATTAGTACGTAATATTTAGCAGAAAGATATGCACCATTAAAATATCCATGACATGGGGGGGGTACTATACACCGCGACGTACGATATTCATTATCTGATCAATACAGATACATTGCATCAATTTTGTTACTATTCTCTTATAATTTCTATAAATGCACTACTGATAATCGTTCACGCTCACCTCATTTGAATTACCGTTAAAAATTCCTGCGTTAATAATAGTGTTATCAATACCAAATTTTTTCACATCTATATCTTTTGAACCAAAAACGATGACCACCATTTGAGCGACCTTGGTAATCAAATCAAATTTTTAACTTTTTTTTTTATGGATCATACATAATGTAGGATTGTTCGATATTGTCTTAGGCTCAATTGGTGAGTCTGTCACCAATGCACAATACTTCTTTCTACGTTCGGTCAACATAAGGTAGGCTTCTTTAACTCTTGAGGCGTGTCTCAATTTTAGCTGTCTTTACTTTAACTTCTCTACCGACCAACATAGAACGCTTTAAATGTTAATTCTCTTAGGCAAAACCTCGGTTCTCTCTTGTAGCCGCGTAGTTCAAGTTACAAGTCTTCTTTGGCACACTGAGCACGAGGTAAGAGTTTGCTTTAAACTTCACTTATTGTTTATTACTGATATAGTCCCCAAATCTCTCTAAATGCTACTGAATGGCGCATGTATTGTATATGTTTGCATCTATTGTATTTACTATTCTACGCTATTCTATAAATTCCCATCCCTAATCTTTTCTCACTGTTCCACAACAACAGACTGGCGCAACATGTTATCGCACATTTACCTGTAACAATATTAACATATACAGTATAAAGATCTTTTCCTTCTCTTTAGGTTTTTTTTCAACGGTTTAAAATGACAGGCAGACATTCTAGCGACAGAAGCAAATAATTTTTTGTGATATTGGTTTTTAAAAACTAGGAAAAAATAATTGCATTATAAACACTACAAATGATTGCCGGATAGTCAACATGGTGCTCGTTGTAACCTATCATATCTGCCATCGGCTCATTCGAGATGAATTATTCAAAGAATAAGAAGTCTGTATTATCTATGAAATCCATCGGATATAAAAATTTCACTGTATTTAAAAAAAAAACACAGAACGTTCGTGAATTTAGTTAAGCATTTTATTGCTATGATAGCGGATTACAAATCATCTTATTATTTGGAAAATTCTTGCATTATTATTACTATTACTATTATTTTAGAACGGTTAATTGCGATTCATCTATTGTACATTAATAATGTAAACATCAGAAAAAAAAATTTTTTTTTATTCACGGCAGGATACTTGTCTGGTAAAAAAAATAAGTAGAGATGTGAAAAAGAATAAAATAAAATATAACAAAAAAGTAATGCATATAAAAAGTAATTGAATGATAAGTTTTATTCTTTAAATATGCGGAGCGTTTTTTGATACGATAAATTTTATAAAACTTTGCTATTGAGTCCGTCAACTTACCCATATCGCTTTCGCGTGATGATATATTAAAGTTTATGAATGTATTTTAACTCGAAAATTACGGCGTATATTTAACTTGGAAAGCTTCCTCGTTTACTTCAATTTTACTGTTTTTAATTTATCGCAAACTATTTATTTACTTTGCGCTCCTTTTATTTTACTCAGATGATGAATTGTACATTAAACGTGTGACGTGGTGTCGGGGTTGTAGAGGGTGGGATTGAGGGACGACTTGACTGGGTACTGGTGAACTTGAAGAAGATGTGGATTGTCCGTTATGTGCGAAGAAGAAAACACTTCTGATATCGGTGGTAAAACGTTCGAGCTGTTGTTATCTGGTATGAATGGTTGTGATAAAATACTTTTTTAAAAAATTATCCTTTTGATATTTATAAAAAAAAAGTGGTTATTTATTGTTGAATTTCTTCCAGTTTATAAAGGTACTTTATTGACGTTAATTTTTAAAACGAAAACGAGTCAAATAATTATGGATAAACAAACTGTAACACAAGAAGTTTCCCAAAGAAAAAAAATAGATAAAATAAATAATAAGCAAAAATGAAATGAAAAATTAAAGCAAAGAAGGTTGAATTAAAGAATAACTTTTTTCAAAAAAATTATTTTCTAAAAAGAAAAGGTTGTTTATTTTTTTAATAATAAGAGAAAAAGGAACAACTCTTATATTATTCACAATGTGCATTTTCATTTATCTATATAATGTACAGTATTAAAGCTTGTATTTCCTATAAAATGACATTTAATTAGTAAGGAATATTGAGAAGATTAAACTGAGGGTAAAGAAATTATATTTATATGAATAGTTCAAATTACATGTAAGGTTTTGTCATAACGTATGTAATGTTGGGGTAGAAGGTTGCTCATAAGCTACGAGATGTTGAATTAGAAGACTACGAGATGTTGGTCATTATAAGACATAATAAGGTATGATATGTTGAATTTGAGATTGCTCATAACAAGGTGTAAGTTGTTGGATTAGTGGTTGTTCATCATAAGATATAAATTGTTGAATTTGATGTTGCTCATAATAAGGTATAGAATGCTGCATTAGCGGTTGCTCATAATAAGGTGGGAGTTGTTGGATCGGAGGCTTCACATGCAATTCGGTATGTTGAATTAGTGGTTGTTTATCATAAGATATGGATTGTTGGATTTGAGGTTGCTCATAATAGGGTAAGGAGTGCTGGATTAATGGTTGCTCAAAATAAGGTGAGAGTTGTTGGATTGGGGGCCCCATAAGCGATTCGGTATGTTGGATTAGTGATTGTTCATTATAAGATATAAATTGTTGGATTTGCGGGTGCTCATAATAAGGTATGGAGTGCTGGATTGGTGGTTGCTCATAATAAGGTGTGAGTTGTTGGATTGGAGGCGGCACAGGGCACTTCAGATTATGAAAAGGGATATTAAAATTTGTGATTGGTGTCATAATATAAGGGAGATAAAATGTATTCGAACTGAGTTTTTGATCTTTTGAACTTGTATTATCATATCTCTCTGAATAAAGTTGTGAACCGTTCATTTCTTTTCCATCAATATATTGATTTAAAACTTCGGTTATTTCATTAATAATATCCGAGAATTCCGCCATCTGAGAGTCTTCAAGCGTGCTTATTTGGCCCTTAATAATATCAGGCACATCTTCTTTCTTTTCCTTAGAGTAATATTGGAATGTCTTTGTTGTTGATAATTCATTTTTACACGTATTTAATAATTCCTTCTCTTTTATTCCTTCATTTTCATGAAGTCTGGAGAGTTTATAATGATAAAGGCCGTTTTGAGGCTCTATATTTAATTTTGTTAATACGAGCGTTTGGTTCTTGTGTGAGTCCGAAAAAGAGAGTCACTTACTTTCTTTCTTCAGTTTTTTACCATATTTATCATGGGGCCTGAATTTATCTCTTTTGTTAGACACACGATTTCGATTACTTTTCGTCATTTTCTAATATAGAATTATTTCTAGGAATTCTTTGTCGAAAACTCAATCAAACTTGACCACTTTTCCACGAAGATAGTCTTCTATATAATAATTCCAATGTGTGTAATTTATACAGATTACTTTACAGTATTGCTACAGGTATACGCTTCAACCTTATGATTCATGATCGTCAACCGCATGATCACTTGTCTTGTTAAAACAGATGAGCGTTGCGTTGTTATAATGACAATTGAAAGGTTTGAATTTATTTGACTGGGTGTTTTTAGTACAGTAATGTGGCAATTTTTCCCTTGCTTCATGTACGTATTTAGAAAATTTCCATAATTATATTGACGATCATTTAATCATTCTTTCTCGAGATTAAATTGAAATCATAAAAAAACAAACATTATTAAGAGATTATTACTACAGGTGCGCTACGCTGCCACATACGTTATCACTAATCAGAAATCTCTCTATTGCTAGATTTGCAAGACCCTCCCTAAACCATGGTGCGGGTTTATGCAGCCATTCTAGACTTTCGACGGTACGGGTTTTCGCTGCAATCACACTGCTCAAAACTTTCAACGATGTGGGTGTACACGGCTCATTTTCAACAGTACTATCGAGAAACGTCATGGTGTCAAGCGGGTGAGGGAACTCTAAAAGTCGGAAACAAATTTTTCGAACTACAACAAAAAGAACAAAATAATAATCACAATCTCTCGCGTAATGCATTGTGTTACACGGTCTCGCGATAATCTAGCTCTAACTTTGTCCCGGTCGTTAATCAGTCGTGGTTTCAACCGTTATCTTTCATGATACGGTAAAAAATGGTCACATTGTTCGGTTATTGTTTTCATAGCAAATAACTTCGATAGCTGACAGTTGATTATCTGTTTCAATCGAGCATTCAATGGAAAAAAATTTTTTTTTTAGGAATTTTTAAAAACATTATTTTTTTATTTTATTGATTTAATGCATACATAATGTAGAGTTACTGTAGCACAAATATTTCAGTGTTGTTACAGTAGCATAAACGGAGGTCCGGAGGTTGTTATATTGACCAAAAAGAGAAATAAATTTTACAATGACGATGATTTCTAATCAAATAATTATAATTATTTTTAATAATTATCTTGGAAATAATAAACAAAACTATTTTTTCAAATGCTAAGTTTATTAGCAGATAAGGTTTCTTAGTGAAAAATTAATTGATTTATTTTAAGTTTGGTATGATCTTTATTTTAATAAAATTCAATTTTTTAATTTATACAGTGTTAAAAAAAAACGCGGAAATTTTTTTATATTAAATATTTATTATTAAATTAAATTAATAAATAAAATGATTACAAAATATTTTTTAAGATATATATTTAATAAAGCTAATAACTTTTATATTGATTTCTTAATAGAAATATTTTTTATTTATATTTGAATATATAAAACCTTATTATTTAAAAAAAAAAACTCTTTCCCACAACACCTCCATCCGTAGAAAATTGCCTTTTTAGGAAGCTTCTTTCTTCCAAGGAA